CTCCCTCGCTGGGTATCTTTAAGAATCAATTAAAGACATGGTTATTTCGGCAGGCCTTTCCTCCAGACAATCCCTGATGATCCTCTTTCTTTCCTCTCTACTTGGTTTCTTCCCTTGTGAAGTTTTATTATTTATGTTGTTTTATATATGTATATCTTTATTATTTGATGATTGTGAGCCGCCTAGAGTGGTCCTGAGTTGGCTAGATAGACGGGATATAAATAAAATAAAGAAATAAAATAAATAGTGTGAAAAATAACATTTCCTAGCTCTATTCAAAATGTGATAGGATTCCCAGTTTGAAAGCTCTGCCCAAATTCAAGTCCCCCTCTTCCATGTGCAAATGACTGAGAAGGGCATAAAGGAAGTTAGTGTGCTGTCTCCTCACTCAAGCAGGAGAGCTAATACAGAAGAAACCACTGTGGCATTCACCCCTGTGCCCCTTGCTTGCCCATCAAGACTCAGAGCACACGAAGGCAAACAATCCCCTTTTACACTGCTGCCACCAGGTGATCTCTAAATCACCATTACTTCAGGAAGATGAAGATTCAGGTCCACACTTCAAAATCTTTTAAATAGAACTTTTGTTTATTGATTACAAAATTAGGTAGAGATTCATGAATATCTTCTTTAGGTAAATTGATTAATAACAACAACCTTTGTATTTGATAATACACTCCTAACTCTAATCACATCTCAGAATTCCATAAACTCCACACTCTAACTCCTTCTCCCTTCTCCCTTCTCCCACTCTACTCCAACTCTAACTCTAAGACTCTGACTGACTCAGGCTCCGCCTCTTATAAGATCTTGTTCGGCTCTGCCTCTCAGCAACATGAATATGCATGAACAATTACATAACAAAACATGAACCATTGACCTAATAAAGGGGAATTCTACAACCACTACCCTGAAAAAGGAAATACAGGGGATGGCAGAATTGTCACCCGGAGAGAGGGGAAGTGTGGGAATGGAGAAACTGTTAGAAGCAGGAGTTTTGGCTGGAAAAAAAGAGAGGATAAAAGGGGAAAGGAGCCAGCAAAGGGGGGAGGAGATGTGAGGAGAAGTGGGAGAAGGTTGTTGGGGAGAAGAAGTGAAGCAGGAGTTTCCCCCTGACTTGTGGGTCCAAATAGTAAAGGCAGATCCGTGGAATGGGAAATGGGCGCAGATAAAGGTTCCCCAGGAAGTAGCTGAGCAGGAGTGCCATGGGAAACCCATTCAGAAGCCACAATATTGGTGAGAAACAGGGGAGCATGAAGCCAGAGTATTGGGGGGGGAGAGAGAGTAAAGATTGCTAGGAAACCAGGAGAATCAAGAACAGCACAATTACCCTGGGACAAGACACGGGCAGAATGTTTTCCCATCAAGACCTCACAAAGCCCCAGGTATAAAGGTATAGGAAGGATATGGGGGCTCACTAGAAAAACAGATACCTCAAGCTGGAATGTCTACTCTTGTATCCTCTTGTATGTTACTCTCTATGGAAGGGGAACCTATCTGAAAGAAAACATGAAGAATTAGCATTGAAAGTAGTCGATCTCAAGGGAGAAGTGATCCCTGAAGGGACTATGTTAAATACTGAGTTGGACCAGTTATTGTTATTGTAGAATAAACCTGTTGTTCAAAAGGAAATCTCATCTGATGTCTCTATACTGAAAGAAGAAGGGAAGGTATGGAACCAGGAAACACTCATAATGACTAAATAGCAATTCCATGTATTCTAGGAACCTGTATTTATACAGACTCATAGTTTACAAGGTCTCCATAGATGGGAAAGTTTCATGTCTCAAGTGGTCACATTCAAAATTACTCTCTTGCTGGTTGGATCTCACGGGAGAGCATGCAGATGTGTGCCACAGTATTTACTTTTTGCTCTGATGTTTTTCGCACCTACTTAAGCACAAGGCAAACTGCCAGCTGGATGATCCCCAAGGCCTCTTCTGATGTTTACCCCACAAATCACCAAAGACACAGAGGGAGAGAGGGAGAGAAAGGGAAGGACCCAACCCCCATCCAATCTATTCAATGTGATAGTGGGGCCTCTGAGCCCATGCAGGTTTCTTGTAACAGCCTGAGAATCCAATGGAGTGTAAGTTTGGCCTGTCTACCAACCTACAGCTCTGGTCACATGTTCAAATTGTCTGTTATATGTGACAGGATTGAAAGCAGTGGACCAGCTGGTATCTGGGACAGGATCAGCAGGAGCAACTCTGTCTGCATCCCTTCAAAAACACATGTTCCATAACATGTTCAAAGCAGGGACTTCAAAATGGCTCTCAGTCTGAAAGGATTCCAGAGCTTTGTTCCAGGTAATTCAGCTTGTTTTCACAGTTGTCCAATCAATGTTCAGATTCTGCAAGGAATAAGATTGCTGTCTTCTGACTCCACTCTTCACTGGTGTATTTTGAGCACTGTACTAAACCTAATGCCCTGTTTGTGCTATTTTGCTTATATGGGTGTATGTATATGAGAATTATGCTCCCATTCCCACCCCCATCTCTGGTGGCAACAAGCCACAGCAAAGCTTCTATTTGTTTTCAAGTGGGCTCCAGCAAAACCTTCTGCAGACTTTAAAACTGATGAGACACATTAGAACTAGGCCTGGCATGAATGTTGCACTTCTATACATACACTATATTCTAGTCTAATACCTAAATCAGAACATGGAAAACTGATTTTTGAACTACAGTTCCCAAGATCTCCATGCAGGCAGGGGGATTCTAGGAGTTGTAGTCCATAAATTAATTATTCCAAGCTCCAGTCTGGACTAAAGCATTCCTGGGACATTGCACAGGTTAGACATCTCCCTTAAAGTTGGACAAACATACAAAGAGACTCATTTGGCACAAATAACCACAGGCAGCATCAAGCCCACAAGTGCTTTATTGGTGGCATCATCGTCAGCTGTGACCTAAGCTTCTGGCTGCTTATTATTACTCTGCAATACGCCGGAAGGACTGGACCACTGGAGATGCAGCCCCCCACTCCATGGGTTTGCTGTACTCTCCTCTCTCCAGGTAATATTGCCTGCCACGGAAGTTGGGATGCTCATAGAAAACCCAGGCCCCATCCACAACTTTGCAGGAGTGGATTTCCCGGAAATGAAACTGCTCCATAACAGAAGGGCAGTCATCTGTGTACTCGTGCATCTGGCCACTGAAGTCACCTTTCTCAAATAGCTGGATGTGATATTTGCCTCCACCAGGCTGAAAGAAGAAGAACACAGTGGTTATGGTGGGTCCCAAGCAGAGGCAAAAGACTTCTTTACCCTAAACAATCTGATGAAACATGGCCATGACTCTTGAAACTATTAAAGAAAATCTTTGACCTTACAGATGTTTTAGTCTGCAACATCCCTTAGCCATTAGCTACACTGACTGAAGCTTCTGGTATCTGAAGTGGCAAACATATGGAGGGCCAAACATTATGCACCTCCACATTAAAACCAACAGTGCATTACAGTATAGGCGTGAACACCCACTTCTGCTAACATAAGTCCTCTCAGCAAAGCAGTGGCTCCCATTACACTAGCAGAGCGTACATGTTTAAATATACATTGGACACTCAAATAGTCACTGTTCTACAATGCATGGTTCCTCTCAAGATCCAATGTAATACAAAGGGGTAAAACAATGTCAGATCAAGTCTAAGAGAGACAGGTTCAAATACACATTCAGCTTTGAAGTTCATTGAGCAATGCCAGCTTACCCCTCAGAAGGTCTACCAACCTCACAGGACTGTTGTGAGGAAACATGAGGGAGAAAAGAATCAGATACATTATGTGGGCTGCCTGGAAAAATGGTAGAATAACTATAATAAACATTCAGCACTCGTGCTGAGAATTCCCATCCTATAATGAAGGGGTGGAGAACATATGACCCTCCAGAGATCAAACTCCCACCATCCCATGCTTACCACGCTGGCTGCAAGTTAAGGGGATTTGTCATCCATTTACATCTGAAGGGCCAGAGGCAAAACTGGGGGAAATTACTTTTCTAATGCCAACTCCCAGAATCCAGCAATCAGTAATGCTAGTAATTGATTATGGGACTTATAATTAAAAAGTAACTTTTCCACCAGCTGTTTTAATGACTATCACTGTATGTCAGTCTTAATAACTCAGTACCGGTAAGCATGTGATACCTATGCACAAATGAAAAATAAACTATAAGAAGGCAGTGTGTGTGTCTAGAACAGAGACTGTTGAAGGTAGCCTTCTCAGCTTCTATTATGTAAACAAATATCACATTTATTCATATGGACTTCACAGATAGCCAAGAAAGAAAATAAAAGTCCAACTTACTAACTGAATGAATTTGCAAGAGCTGACCCGGTCATTCAGACCCATCCAACGCTGGTATTCAGGATACTCCCCATGGGTCAGCACATACATGTTCCCTGCAAAATTTGGTCGCTCATACACAACCCAGGCACCCCCCTCCACACGGATGGAATTGCAACGGCTCAGATCAGTATGGAAATCCAAGCAGTCCCTGTCGGACTCATAGCGGCGCCCCTGGAAATTCTTGCCTTCATAAAAGGTGATCTGAAACACAAGCAAAGCACAGAGGAAACATATTCCCACCAGGCTAGTCGCTGCTGGCCTGAACTGGGCTGTAGACAGGCATCATTAGTTGCTGCTTCAGTATCAACAAGTTGAATAGAAATTGCCCAAAACATTTGTTTGCTGGCCTGGTTAAAATAAAATTGCAATGTACAAGGTGGCAGGTTGTTTACACCGTGATTGTTGTGGGTTTTCCGGGTTGTTTGGCCATGTTCTTAAGGTTTTTCTTCCTAACATTGTGCCAGTCTCTGTGGCCGGCATCTTCAGAGGACAGGGGTCAGAACTCTGTCTGTGCTCTGTTCTGACTCCTGTCCTCTGAAGATACCAGCCACAGAGACTGGTGAAACATTAGGAAGAAAAACCTGAAGAACACGGCCAAACAATCTGGAAAACCCACAACAACCATCGGATCCCGACCATGAAAGCCTTCAAGAATACATTGTTTACACAGTCTTTCTCTCTCTCTTTCTCTCTCTCTGTAGAGGTGGGAAGGTTTCTCCTTGCAGACTACAATCCCCAGAGTACCCCCAGCCAGCAGGATCACTGGCTATGCTAGCTGTGGGACTCTGGGATTTGAAAGTCAATAAAGGAACTTCTGCAATCTCCAAACTAGTGTGTGGTAAACCATGATTATGCATGATACTAGCAATGAAAAAAAATAGGCTGCTGTTGCTGCTGCATCTCCTCTGTGGAATATGACAAACTGAAGTTATATGTCTGTGACACTCTTTCACTTCTATTCCTTTGATATCATGCTCAGTACAGAAGTATTTCCTCCATGATTGCAAGTCAGTCTCCATTCTTCTGCCCTTAAGTTGTATGAAACTGGTCTGCAGATTAAATTGCATTTTCACATGTAGGGAAGTGTCAATGGAGTTCCTGGCTACATCAGAATAGATATCAAATACGATTTGTTTCATCAGGTGGCAGTTTCTGGACAGTGTGGAGGAAGTAGCAGCAGCAGCCCCACAACTCTTATCTTCCATTGGTTCTAAGCTACTTGTCCTAAACCCGCTCAACCAGCTGTATGCTCCCAACAACTTGCCCTGCACCCACCCTCCCAAGCTAGCCTAATTTGCTCCTGAATTTCCCAGGCCTGATGGCCACTGCCCAGGCTGTATGGGGAATTCAAGGAGTTGTCATCCAAAGCAAATACACAGGATTAAGTGATTGCATTTCTGTATCTTTAAGGTTGTTTTGTAAAAATGTGCCCAAGGCTCTAAGTACAATTGGAATCATTCTTCCTTCTCTCCTTCCTACAATATAATTTTCCCAGTGAAAAGTGTGGCCATCCAAGCCACCATTTGCAGACACTGTTATTAATGCAAATACTGATGGGATTTTTATTTAAAAATTGTGTCTGAAAAGCAGAGGGGAGTACTAACATCACTACTAATATCTGATAAGGACTCCATTACTCTTAGGCAGTCACATTTCACCTTGCAGTTGTTAACAGCAAAAGGTTTAGTACACCTGGAAAGCATATAATCTTTCCCCAGAAATAAAACATAACACAATCCATGGTCAGAAAATGAAATAACTCAGCAAGTTATGCAGCCTCCAGGGGAGACATCTGGACCACACATAACAAATTGGTCCGAAATACACATCACATCAGTAACTGAACTGATTGAAAGTCCTGACTAGATAAAAATTAGTACCCAACTAACGATTATCTGTGCATTTGGAAATGACCCCATTTGTAGACACTATAACCTTTCAGAATCCTGATGAGAGATTTCATGTTTCAATGCTTCTCCCACATAAATGACAGATTTCCGTGAAATTTTTGAAAGGTAAAGGCTCAAGAAATGATGTGCCTTTGTTATGTGTTTCTACAGATCAGTGCTTATAACGAGATGCCATATGTGTCACTAAAATATATATCTTACTGGGTTTAATATGTTCCTAAGGAGCTCCTTGAAAAAGCTATAATTTTAGTCACAAGCAAAGATGGTTTCTTGGTTTACATTTTCCAGTCTCATAGTAAGCTGTGGACAATTATGAAGTGGACTGCTAAGATTGTAATCCTGAACCTGTTGCAGTTAGGGAACAGGTACAGTTTGGCTTGGCAGTGAAATGTGGAAAAACTGACTGTGCCTAGGCAGCAATCCACATTCACCTACTGACATGGCTACACAACTCAAAATACCTTTCACATTAACACAATTACATAAAACAAATGGAGGTATTCAATCCCTGCATAGCATGCTGCTAATGTTTTATCAGGCTGAAGCTGATCTTCTCAGTACTATTGATCCAGATGCAAGAATAAATCTGTGTTTCAAAATCACCCCAATAACTCCAGGTGCCTCTGTGTTCTTCTTCCTTATCTTCAACAGAAACAAAGAAAAAAAAAGTAGGATGCATCTGTCACTCTCTAAGGTTGCCATTGTTAAATAATGATTTCAGTTTCACATAATCTAAGCTGCTGGAATTGCTTGATGAAAAACTAGGAAAATCCATCAATTGTTCCAAGCAGCATCCATTTATTCTCTAACCTAGCATGTCTTTGACTCAGCAGAGAACTACTTCTGCTAAACAGGGAGACAGCCAACACCCCTCTGCTCTTCTTCTCACTTCTGTTAAACTTTTAAGACTGCATTAAGACCTATTATCTTGCAGACAGGAGGCAGAATGAGATCTTGAGTTGGCAAAATTGCTGCACACATACTTACCCGGCTTCCAGTTTTAGACATGATTAACACTGGATGTGATACTCCTGCAGGAGATGATGATCTAGAAGCAGCTGCAAGGACAAGAACCAGGAAACCTCATTTTATAGTGAGCTCATTTTTAGACTAGACATTCGCTTTGTCATGAAAATGGGATCCAAAAATTGAGTCAGTGATTCTGAGGCTATTCATCAGTTCTAGAAAAGCAAACAGGATTACAAAATAAAAGCAGGCTTCGCTGCTCCTTTTATTTTTCAGCGTTGCCTTTTGCATTATTAAGTTCTGAACACTATGCTGAGTCAGAACATCAAACTCCTGTCAGAAATATTTAGAATAAAACTTTTTTTAAAAAAAAACATTGCACCCTCATTGGACTGATACAATATATAGTTCCCATCCCTTACTTTAAATATCATATGTAATGAGGAGTTCATGACCCTATCAGTCCCTCAGAACCAGAGAACAACTTACGAACTTTGTATATGCCAGAAAAGAGTGTGGGAATATTATTTTAGTGAAGGGCAAAGGAAGCTTGTTTTTATGTATGTTATATTTATCTTCCACCTTTCCTCCATTGAGTTCCAGTTGGCATGCATGACTCTCTTCCGCATCTTCTCTAAACAGTTCTGTAAGGTAGGTCGAGCTCAGTGAGGGACTGGTCTAAGGCTACTCAATGAACTTAATGAGCAGGGAATTTGAATACAGATCTCCTGAGTTCTAGATCAAGAGTCTAACCACTGCTACTTGAAAACATCACAAGGGAAGATGCTAACTGTCATCTGGCTAAAGCATATTCCTTATTTTTGCACATTAATATATTTCAGCTTCACATTTACATGGAGAGGTTAAACATAGCTCTAGGAGCTCTATATGGAAGTGGTGTTGTTGGACTACAACTTCCACCATCCCTGGCTGCACTTAAGCCAAGGATAACACTGTATGATTTCTTTATCATTTGTTCAAGAGTTCATCAACTGACCACACTCATCCTTGAAAAACTCAAGGAAACATTTGGAGATGGTATTAGGTAGTTGCTTTCACAATACTCAATAGAAATGTTTTTGTTCCCATGTTCCCATTTAGTTTTCTGGGGATTCATGAAAAAGGGAATAAAACCAGGAAGCAGAAGTTGATCCAGTTGGCACTCCATGGAAAGGATGCTGTTGAGAGTGTCTGTACTTGGCTGAACATTCTATTGATTTCTTTCTGGTTATCACCAGGGCCCCCAATCTTAGGTTCCCAAATGTTCTTGGACTGCATTTCCTAGAAATCCTGGCCAGCACAACTAGTAGTGAAGGTTTCTGAGAATTGTAGTCCAATAACATCTGGGGACTCAAAAGATGGAACCATTGAAGGTAGGTATCATTCTGATTAAAAAAAACTAACAAAGCCTTGATATCAATCCAATGATTTTGATAATGATTTGAAGGTATTGTTTGAAGATGATATTGCTAGTGAAAAAAAATAAACACGTTAATTTTGTGCATCCATTTTTCAAACAAAATATAAACTATTAACAGATCTGCTGTGAACCCCAGGTGTTGTCAAGTAGTCCCGTTGGGTGGGGTAGGAAAAAAAAGTTAAGAACTGTCATAGAGTAATTCTTCCTCATCAGAACAGGCAAGGTAATGCTCTAATGAAGCAAACATTTTCTCCTGAATTCTCTCTCTCCTCATCTTACAGTTCAGTTTAATTTTGACATGCACGTAATACAGGTACATGGGTTCTCTTCATGTGACCAGGAACTGTGGAAAATGATGAATTATCAGTTATGCAGAGTAAGTCCTGCATGTGTAAAATTATGTGTCCAGCTCTCTGTGCCACTGTTTAAACTGAAAACATAATCTGTCCTGCACTTTGTTAACATTATGCCTAAATAGGGTTATGCCAAACATATTTGAGTAAAAAGAAGTTAAACCACTGTTGCTTTCTAGGAAAACATCTAGAATTTCCTAACCAGCATATTCTGTTGTAGTGAATTTTATGAGTTGTGGTCCAAAACAGGAACTTTCCTATAGAACTCTTCTAGCTAAAGACGACATTACAGTATATGCTTTGAAGACACAACTCTCTGTACATCTCACACCTACCCCTTTCAACTGATGAGGAGGCGGGGGGAAACAACAATAGCTATCCATTGAGGCCCATCTACTTTCCCTGGGAAGCTCTGTTCGTTGCTCTTTGCTTGTACAGTCAAACCTTTCCAGCAGCTAATGCAGTTCTACTCATCAACAACCTCAGAACAGATGTGTTTTAATTGTAATATTGCAAGAACATGTTCAAATTCAACATACGTTGTACACCTATTTATATGTTAGACTTCACTTTCTTGTAGTATTTGCCTTGTGGGATGTCAGCTTGTTTGATGGCCATGCTTCAGAAGTCCAGCCCATAAACTCTAGTTCTCCATATTACTACTCAGTATTTTTACAGGTTATGCTCAGGATGTATATGGAACCACAGCATAAAATGGATCAACTTGGATAGAAGAGGTAAGCAAAAATTCATGCAATGGGAAAGGCATACACAGTCCCATAGCTTGCCCCCAGTCCTAGTCAGAGATCAGAAAAAATAACTTTTCCAAGCTTTGATGTAAACCTGGTTTCAGACGCAGATATCCACACCTCTGATTCTAAGGACTCTGCAGATTTCTGAAAAGCTTTATGTACTATTATACAAGTGCAAATATCTCATTTCATTTGAGGAGCCAAACATTACAAAGAACATTTTCTCACATTCCAGTTGGCAGGAAAACAAAAGGAAACCACAGTAGGTGCAATACCTTGTCTGTTGAATTTCAGTGTGGTACTCTTTAACCCAATTCCCCTTCTAAACAGCAAAGCTTCAATATCTTCCTTTGTGCAAGAAGATTTGAAAGTAGCTTGAAATTTTGCAGCTCAAAAAATAGTAAAAATAGCCAGAAACTTATTACTTTTATTTCACTAGCAATAACTTATCTCTATACAGTTGAGACACTATTTAACAGTAAAATTCCAAGATGGATTAGTTAGCAGGGTAGAAGAATGGAAATAAGAAAAATAATTTCAGACACCATTGCCAGCCAAGAAACATTGGATTCCAATTCAAAACACCTGCAGACAAAGTACCATGGACCACAATTCTCCCTCCTTCACCTACTGCCATTGTATAATCATCTGGAATTTATTAAAAAGTACACAAAGCTTTGCAAGGGGCAGGGTTTGGATGGGCATGCCTCTAGCATTCACCTCATTTGGACAGATCCAGATCCATAGAAATAAGTAAAGCAAACAGCAGTCATGGGCAAGTTAACTGATTTCCACATCTCCTCTAAATATTGCTAAATCTGAATCTACCCCACAATGTCTTACATCACTATTCTTAGGGATAACCAGATAAAAATTCATTTTAATCCATCTTGTAGCTGTGGAGAAAAACAATGTTTAAACACATGCTGCATTGCTTTTTGGTTTTGCAGAAAACCCAGTCTCATACTAAACTGAAACTATCTCACAGCTTGCTTTGATAAATGCAAGGTGTGTCTGTGTGTACATATATACACAAAATTATTTTTTTCCATTGTCTGTTACTTTCCCTCACAGCTCCCCCTAAACCTAATGAAAATTTCCACTAAATGGACCCAGCAGCAACTATCTAGTTTGAGTTTTCTCTATTCCCATGTCCTTAAAAAGCCATTGTGCCCTCTGCACATGATTGCACTGATTTCAAAAGGATGAGGGAGTGAGCAATGTTAACCTCTCTTTTGGAAATCAGTGGGATTTCTTCCAACAACAGCCTTGTTATCTTTGGTTGCATGCTTCTTCATTCCTGCCTGCTCCCAACTGGAACACAAGCCATACTCATGTTTCTAGTGCCTTAAGCTTTTCCAAATATCAAGAGTATCTTTTCACTTACCTCAACTTCACCTGTTAGTTTTTTCCAACTTAAGAAACTCATTCCCACCAGAGGAAGCAACATGAGAACCATAATTTGTTTTGGCAGTAATGAAACACAGTTATGTTTGGGGTTGTTTTAACTGAAACCCTTCATACAAAATACAACAGTAACCCAGAGATGTGTATTATTGGAAAAGCTTTGTTTACCAATAAATAGTAAAACAATTGTAAAAACAATCAGTTTCAATCTGGTGATGATGGGGATGATAGAATTAGAAAGGAGACAATTTCTCAAAAATCAGGAAATGGCTCTAATAATTGAATTTAGCTCTAAGCAACCATGTGCCTATCTTTAACATATTTGAGCTTTAATGTATACTGACATCACAATCTTCCACTAAAACTTAAACAACTTTGAAGTAAATCAGCTTCTGCAAATGTACAGAGCCACTCAACCAATGAAGTCTCTGTCGTTTTAAATATATTTGAGTTTCTAAGTGGAAAATTTTGAGATAGCTTTTGCAATGTTATGAATACCATGTATTAATGAGAGCTGACATTTGTAGTATTAGACCAATTAGCCGTGCATACTTTGAAGTCATTATACCAGAAAAGCATAACAAAACATTTCTAGGTTTGGGTGTTTTGAAAGAGGGAAACATTAAAATCCCACCTCTCCTGGATAATATCCCCCTCCCTTACAAAATGCAGCTGGATAATTTACTTTCATTAAAAAAACATTATGGCTTCAGAAAGGCACTGTTTACTTTTGTTTATATCAGGTCATCCATGTTAGAGTTAACATTTAGACAAAGAAGCACAGAAATATTTTTCCACTTTTATGCACAAGCTGACGTCAAAGGTGTAAACATAAAAAAGTGCAAATCCACAGAGGTGTATCATTTCCCCTCCTCTTGTTCAAATTACTAAAAAGAATTGTCTGGCCCCCATCACTGTTCTGCACTGCAATCAATGAAACCTGTGCTACTCATGATGACATAAATCCTATTAATATCAATGGGTCTTTATTCTTAAGTATGATTATGTTTGCTTTTGATCCTCTTTTTCTGAGACACTTTCTTAAAGTATAAAGACAGTACTAAATACTTTTATCATCCAACAAAATCTGAAAAAGGACCTGAATGTTAAACAAAATTGTGCCAATTTAATTACCTTTCATAGCTGAAATGCTAAACAACTGCTACAAAAATACATCCATTATGTTTTAAATAATCAGTCAATTTTCAGTTAATAGCAAGGAAGAGGTTCACTCAGCAACCAGAACTTGACCCTAGTGTCCCACCAAGAAACATTAAATCCTTTGCCACACCTTTATATATGCTACAAATCTAAATCTTGCTCTTAATCACATGTAGAAGCATGAACAGCAATAATTGCTGATTTCCTCTGGGAGCTGCATCTTCTGGGAAGGGCGCAGAGCAATGAAAAATGCAGTAACACCTGGAGAACTAAGAGAAAGTCCATCTCTTGCTTCAGAATGAAATCCACCCTTCCAAATTCATTAGCAATACCACAAGAGCTTCAAAATCAGCTTGGCCTCAGTTCATTGAGAGGAAAACACTCTTGATTTGGCACAGTGTGTCTGCAGAACTGTAACAAAATAGAAAAACATGCCTTTATTTGTTGAATGCAATAATTAACAAATCCATTACTTTCTGATGACACAGCAATAGTTCATTAACCAGTATCATTCATAAACACACTGCAATAATGCCATTATTAGAGTGGGGATTTCTATGACATGTCATACTTTTTCTGGAATGTTTATTTGAACTTATAAGTTAAAACATACTTTTGAGTTATCTGGTAAGAATTATGTGGTTTTTACTTTGCCTAGAAAGTAATATTTTGACCTTTTTAAAGTGTTAATGCCATATTTCTGCTGAATTTTGTAATAAACATTATATTTTTGTCACTGGTAATCCTCCCAGCAATTTCAATATGCCTAAAAGTAGATGTTCAGCAAGTGTAAAATTTTGGCATTTTGTTCAAGTTTGGGGAACGGATTGCCAGTAGTGATGGTAATATTTCAGTTTGTAAATTGTGTGAAGTTAAGGCCGAAAAGCATTTTAATACCACAAAATCTTGTTTAACAAGATTTATCTTCTCTGGGAAAAGGCAACATCTCCTTTTTGAGAGCGCTGATTCTTCAACTGCAGGTTCATCATTTACACACTAAGAATTTTTTAAGGATCTCAGTACAATGATGATTGCTTCAACTATTCCCTTAAATAAACTAGGCAGATACCTCTTGGAGAAGTACACTAGTCTCTCAATTCCAAATGAATCAACTCTAAGGAAAAATTACAACTCTGGCTGTGTTAGGAGGAAGGTGTGTTAGGAAAGATAAGATCTGCCGTTGACAACATTAAGATGTGCATTTCAACAGATGAAACAAGTAATGTAAATCGAAGATAAGTAACTAGTGTTATTGGCACTCTGAAATGTGACCAGCCTGGTGAAGTGTTTCTTCCAACATGTGGAACTCTACAAAAAGTATGCTCTTTGATAATTCTATGCTCTTTGACGATTCTATGAAACTACTTTGCCTGGATGGTGCAAAAATGGAAAACATTCTCCTCTTTGTAACAGATACCGTTACATACATGACTATGGCAGTCAAGGGACTTAAACTTCTTTATCAGAAAATGATCAATATCACATGTCTTGCACATGGTTTACACAGAGTAACCGAAGAGACTTGAATCTGCTTTCCTGATGTAGATAACGTCAAATGGAAAAAAATGTTCATTAAGGCTCCACTTCGAGTACAAAAGTTCAAAGAAATTGCTCATATTTTGGCTCTCCCTCTCCAACTTGTCATGATGCGTTGGCGGAGTTGGCTAGATTCAGCTATGTTTCATCCCACAAATTATGATTGCCTGCAGCAGATAGTTAAAGAATTTGTCTGTTGTGAATCTTCCTCCATCAAGATTGTGCAATCTGAAACCTTGGCTGGAAACTTGCCATATATAAAATCTAATTTCAGTGGATTATCAAGAACAGTCACCAACCTTGAAACTGTAGCGATGGAACTTAAGTGATGCACTAAAAATTGTGAAACAGAGAGTGTTTTACAGCAATCAAAGGGAGAAGTGGCTGAAAAAATAGTGATAAACTGCAAAGAATGCTGAAACCTAATCTGGGTCATTCAACATTTTGCAAAATGAGTAACATTTTAAATGGACTCAAAGTAAAATTTAATGACTTCAAATTTTCTCCAGATGAGTTGGCTTTTTTCAAATTTGTTCCTATAACCTCTTGTAATGCTGAACAGAGTTTCTTCAGAGACAAGAATATACTGTCAGATAACAGGAGTTTTGAGTTTGATAACCTCAATGCCGCTGTTGACTAACACTAATCCAAGTATTCTGAAAATGTTCATTTGATTCCTTCAAGTGCTAGTGCTTTTGCACTGGAAGTGAAGAAAAATAATGCTTTTAATTTTTATGCACAGATTTTCAAAAAATTGGGTGTTAATTTCAGGGGAAAAAATTGAAGTCCTATTTTTGGTCTATTATCGGTCATACTTAAATGATTTTAAGGTCATAAATGCTTGCATATTTCCAATATTTTTAGAAGGTCACATAAATCCTCACTTTAGTGCTTTTAGACTTAAGTTTTGGACTTTTAAGTTCTTCACACTGGTACAATCCTAATGAAGTGGTGTTAAATCCATAAAAGTTTGTGTGAGTGATTTTTAGTGTTCTAAAAGGTATTGCCTATTTTTGCATTTGGATTTTATTTTGTTATAACCACATGAGTGCCCTTCAACGGAACTATAAGGATACCAAGACATAGCTGCCCTCCCCATGCCATCAAGAAGACATTGGGATTGTCAACATCAGCAGAGGACCGCAGCTACTAGATAGTATCATTTTGGCTTTAATCTGACCTTAACAGGCTACACCTAGTGAGTGTACTAAATTGTCACCCCAATTCTCAGATGCAGGACTCAGGTTTTATGTGTCATCACCACCACCTGCAGCAAATCAGAACATATCTGTTTCAAATAAAGGCTAAATGGAGAGATGTATGTACACAAATGCCTGTGCTTCTTTGTTTGTAGAACTAGCTGCCTAAATGGTAACCATAAAACAGCAACCAGACTCCTTATCTCCATCTAAGAGAGAAAAGAGAGAAAAGCCTGGTGAATTGCCAAAAACTGTTGGACTTAACATCTAAAAGCAACTTTCCTGGCAAAAAGTCATCTTGCCATGTACTTTTGAACTTTTAAGTCCTTCACACTTGTACAGTCTTGATGAAATGCTGTTTAATCCACAAAAACTTGTTTATTGTGTCATGATTTTTCAGTGGTCTATAAAGTTACATCCTATTTTTCCATTTGGATTTTATTTTTTATGACCCCATAGCTGCCCGTTACCTCACCTTAGTCATTATGTATAGTAGTGTCTAGCAAATTTTACTCCTCTTAAGCACCTAGAATCTTTACAGCTAGGAATAAAATAAAGCATGAAAAAGCTGTTCAAAATACTAGATATATTTTCATTTTAGGGCATCACCTATGCACCCCCATAAAATCAATTTCTGAATATTAACAAGGCAGTGATTCATCAACATGCCACTGATCAAAAGCATTCAGGTGGGTTACCATAATATCAGGGATGACCTCCATGATTTCCTGTTATGTTGAGCTGTTTCTGAAGCTCAACACAGTTGCAAGCAAGATCCCCTGCCCTTTTCCCAAATGAAAAGATGTTAGGGTGCATCCCTCCATCCTAGCTTCAGAAGTACACTGAACCAGTGAGATTTCCGAGTATCTCTGAAACTTAGGTTAACAGAGAAGATTCCAACTCCTCCCCATGTTGAGGAGGAAGCAGAGTTTAAGGCCAAGAAATAAAACATTTTGGAGAGGTATTTAAACAAGGCAAGGTATTTTGAAGTCTGCATTGAAATACTTTTGTAAGACAGGTAATAAAGAATCAATGGGGAGTTTTGAAAAGACCATTTTTATTCAATACTATTTGTTAAATATAATCATTAAGAAGGAAGAAACCAATTACTTGAAATATGTGCCACTGATATGAGCAAGGTTTAAGAGGAAAGCAACCTTTGCTTTATGAATTTTTCATTTGAGAAATACAAAATTAACAGAATGCCATCTAGCAGCATAATTTGAGACAACATGAGAATGAAGAAGAGTACTAAACTTTCATTTAAAAGTATCCCTTACAGATACGAGTTTTAAGTTATCCATACACTAATTAGAACTTTTAGTCTTGTTAACTGATGTTAGAGACAACTGAGCTGCATTCAGAGACCTCAACTGTAATAGGCAGGAACCTCATCTTCAGGCAAATATGAATAGAATGTCTCTTCAGATCTAACAAACACAGTACTGTTTGGGACTGGGAGGATTGAATCCAGCATGCAAGGAAACGTAGATTAAGTGATCACCATGTATGACCCTGTCACATTAACGTAGTTCCCACAAAATCAGACAAACATCTGAACCAGGATCCTTTTTGTAGATGTTCCAAGAACATTTTCCCAATCCCCATGGCAACCGACCAGATGGACCTATGATGAGATTCACTAAGGCATCAATAGTCAAAACTGTGTAGAAGAGAATATTCCTTTCCAAAAAAACAGTTGCAACAGGAATCACAATATGTGAACTCACCTAACTATTGTGTTACTTCAACCCTTCTGCTATCCTGCTGCCTGCTTGGAACCTGCAACTGGAAGCACCAGGCTGTCAAGCTGTTGGCGACTGCCTGTGTGGACAAGCCATTCATAAAACTTGTTCTCTACCAGCATTTGGAATGACTTCCTCTGGTCCCTGAAAGGCATTAAAACATTAATATTGTGGTTCATACAATTCTGTACATATCTTGTTATTCAAATTCTCTCTTCAATAACTAATAGGATAACTTTTTCATCCACAAAGAATATGAGATGAATTAAGTGAAGTATATGTTCAAACGCACATTTCCTGGAAGTCCAGTTTAGGGTATGGAATGTTCCTTACTTATTGATGTAAGATTTTATCTCATTGCAAAATATCTATTATGAAATCTGAAAACGGTACATTTCAAATTGTTTTTAGAAGTCAGGATAACTGACCACAGAACTCTGTGAGACTGAAGGCTTGTCTACCTGCCTCTTTTGGAACAGGTTGGATTGGGCTAAATAGAGTACTAAAATAGAGTACTAGGAGGTCTAGTATGTCATTTGGTGCAATTTGACCTCAGGTAACCCTAATTGGTCCATATCACTCACCATCAATTTGTGAAGTGGCTTAAAAAAAGGGTCACTTCAGGCAAATTAAACACTTCCTAAGCTCATAGAGTGGCCTAAGAAGTGAAAAAATAATTAAGTGTGCCTTCCTGTTTGGATTTTCTCTTAAAGGGTGGTCAGGAGCTGATCGAGAAAAGCAAACAAAAATCCTCCTAATTCTGCATCCTGTTGGAAGAAGTTTTAAATTTGGCTTTTTTTTAAAAGTGAAACATGTCCCCAGCCCCTCCACATTGCTTAGGATGTGCTTAATTTGCAATAGAGAGTGGCTCTCTTCTGAAGCCACTTTACAATATTGGCAATATAAACAGAAAGGCTCTTTTTTGGTTTGTTCCCAGCAATTACACATGCTGAAACAAACCAAAAGAATGACGCTACCCACACCAAAAAAAGTAGAAGCCCCTGACAGGTGCCAGAAATGTACAGACAGAACCACTCTGGAAGTGGGCTAGTTTACTCCAGCAGAGATGTTATCTGACTGCTGTCTTTAAAAGCATACCAGCCTGTTCCTGCAGCAGACCAGTGGGCTAAATCCTCATGTAGTCACCCAATTTAGGCAAAGGACACAACTGCCCAGCCATTTTATTTCCATTTTCTTTTGAACATATCAAAAGTTAAGCAGTCTGAGCTTATGTACTGTATGTCTATTCAAGGTCAGTGGGTCTTACTCCCAAGTAAATGCACACAGCATGGCAGCCTACAGAAAGCAAGACATCCAATAAAAAAACCAATAGCAAGCTTGATGAATTTCAGTTGTGCTTCTGTAAATAAAGTGTATTGTGTGTCTGAGCTATAGTAAATTTTACAGCACCTTTGGAATTCCATGCATAAATTTAAAATATAAGATTAATGAGTTGGGCTTTCAAATTATTAAATCCCTGCTCAGCCATAGCCATAATTTAATAAAAATTAACAGGTTCTCCCACAGAGTAATCTGAACAAGAAACTTAAATGGCATTTTAATGACATTAAAATGCTAGTATTAACATTGTATCTCAAAAGTGCTAGTTTTTCCATTTCAAAAAATCCTGTTACTTACTTCGTCAATCCTGCCTCCTTCACGGCCTTCTGCCAAATTTGTATCCTTTGTTCTCTCTGACTCAATGCTTTCTGATACGCAGGTGGTAGCCCACCAGGTATTTCTGTTGTGTCACCTTCCATTTCAAAGGGAACAACAAAAGGATAAAATTCCAAAGGTGAGAGCAGTCTGAACACCTCTTCATTACAGTTCTCCTTGCATACTAATACTGGATTATCCCAGTAGTTCGGAACTGTAGCCAGTCCAGTCCTGCCCATGTGGTCCTCAAGCATTGGGTAATGGGTATGGTATGGAGCAAACGTTATTGCTTGGTTACCAAGGAAGATGAGAGGTCTAGTTGGAGTGAGGATATGCAAGGTGCAACTGATGGTTGATGAAAGAGACAGACGGTGACAAACAACAATAAGCTTAACATTGTCACAGCTATGGAGGTGAACTACTGTTTGCACTGGGCCCAAGACAAAGGTGCTATTCCTGCACTTCTCTATGGTCACAGATCTGAAAGAGAAGGAAAGGCAATCCAATTTTTATTAAAGTATGAGGAAAGAGAACAAAACAAAATGGCCATATACCTTGAAATGAGGTTGCAGTTAGTTGGGGAAGGCCAGCTCACCTCAGTGGAGACAGCAAATAGATAAAGGATTCACAGCAACGATGAATCTTGACATGAGTATCTTCTAAGGTATCAGAGCTTTTTGCCAGTGTTTGCTTATAGACTTGGCTCATGACAACAACACGGTGGGCTGGAGGGACCATAGGAGTATTACAGGCTATTCTGGCTCGCTTGGTTGCTCCTTCAACTGCAAGAATCAAGTGAAATGTTGTGTTGGTTTTTTTAAGGTAATTCTGCTTAAAAGGGCCAGTGAGATGTCATGGATAGACAGTGGATAGATTGTCAGACTAGGACTCAGGAGACCTGTATTTAAATCCCTGCTCAGCCATAGAAATTCACTGGTCAAGTGGCAATGGTAGATTACACCTCACATACCTCAAAAACCCAATTAGGCCAACACTAGAGATGCTAGAGAGGCCAACTAGAATATAAATATCCCTGCACAACTGGACTTAATAAGGGTCTTCCTCATGGGTCAGGACTGTCCACTCACATGTCCGGCAGCGGCCCCACTCATCCTTCCAATCACATCCGGAGCACCGCTCTCTTCCCACTTGGCTAGCCACTCCAGGCAAGAGGAGGGAGGACAAGTCTCCCTGCATGGCTGCCAAGATACGTGAGTGGATGGTCCAACCCCAGGAGCCAGACCCTAAATCCAGCTGTGCAGGGATATGTGTATTTGTATATTAATACGAATACCCCATCTCTAGCCAACACAAGATGAATGTGTCTTGATGGCACACAAAGTGATGACTGCATCACATTTTCTAGACATTCTCAGAATAGACATGAAAAATGCTTACTTCAAAGGAACTTTTAGAAACACTTTGAAATCATTCTAAATTTCTTTTTGATATGTAAACAGGAAGGTTTTTCCTTCAAGGTAAGAACTGAAAACTAACTACACAATTCATTACTGCAAGGAAAAGGAACCAATGTTCCCAAGCAATTAAGTTATGTAGATGCATAACTAGCATTCATGGACAGTAACATTTTGTTCAAGCCATACACAATTCCATAACCTTGTACTCTGAATGGTATTGTGGAAATATTGCATTTACTGGTTGCCCTCCCCAGAGAATAGTGCTTTTGTTATCCACCTAGTAAGGATAGCAGTGAAGAGAATAGATGAACAAATGAAAACTGTGTAACAACTCTTCACAGAGTAAATACCTAGTAATATCAGCATGGTCTAAATTGTCTTCATAATGCAAGGAGACATCACCACATAAGATCTAGTATGATTGCAACCATGAACTGGAACACTAAGTATGTAACATGGAACAGAGAAATTTGAGGTCAGTCTTTGTTGTCTTCATCTATAAATTCTGAAATTGCTAGGTCTTGAAATGTGATGAGATCATGCAACTTACTAAGTTATGTTGTGCAGCCATAAGGGTTTTGAAATTGCTATACATTTTTCAAAGTACTGTAGAAGCCATATTAGCCTATTTCAGCATTTATAACAAAAACAACATTAAAACAATTTTTATAGTTTTATGGCAGCTTTCAGACTAAGGTTAGTGATTTTCCACTGAGCAGGAAGTACCACCAGAGTAGTAATGTGGGACTGCACTGCTTGTGCAAGTAAAGAAATTGCACAAGCAGTAAGCTCCATGAAGAAGACCTGCCCTAAACTTGCCAACAGCAACACTTCTGCGAATGATACAATCCTGTGTTACTACACCATTGAAACTTTCTACTCTGAAGAAATTCAACAGAATATAATCTAGTGAATGTATTTCTAATGTGACCTTTTGTGGATTATAGTCCACTTTGCTAAATATAATATAAAAGCTCACATTCAAGTGAATCTGAAGTTTCAAAGATGCCAGAAGACTTTACTTGTAATTCACGAAGCTTCTTGAAGACTGACATTAAACATTCAGACAACAACTAGATAAATCAGTTAAAAAGGAGTCAAACTACTAACTAGAAGAGAAAAAAAGCAATTAAAAATTCAACCTGTTCACAGATGTCCAGGGTTAAAAAACATTGATCAGAATCCGACTGAGGATTTACACTGGCATTAAGTGTTATTGTGCAAACTGAGGCAGCAAATTGCTACTAATTAATGAGTTGCCACTGCACTACTGTTGGCTTTCCAGTCACAAGACTAGATGACCGATCAGAAATGCAAACAGCAACTCATTAATTACCCATCATTCACTGCTGCAATTTATGCAATCACACATCATAGGCATCCTTCAGTCTTGAGAGACTATGGTAACTTTCTCTGAATTGAGGAGTGTCCTCTCCAGAGCATGAAGCCTGGGTAAAGTAATATGGAGGATAGGCTGTTACCCAAGCAGCAGATCCCCCCTCTCCACGTTGCTGAAATGGTCCAATGGAAAGGCAAGAGCCAATACAACTGGTTCCAGCGACGTCACAGGAGTTGGCAAAACGACACGAACTGCGTTCAGGACTCCAGCTCCAGATTTTGTCTCTAGGTTAACTCCTGAAGCCTTTTCCATGAGTGGATATAGCCGCAAGGCAGTGGAGGGTTGAAATCTGAGTTTTCGTTCTCCTAGATGGGCTGTCTTCCATGGCTGACGAGCCCCACCTACCCCGGCCTGCTCTTTAATAGTAGGGAATTATGATCCAACCCTTAGAATTTTCCTGCCTCCCCGGTGGACACACTCATTTAAAGTGGAAAGCCCCACTCCCTAGGCCCCACCGCCACGCCATACGGTGGGGGAGACAAAAAGAAAGTCCAGGAAAAAAAACTCAGCAAAATGTCCATGCAAACATACCTGGCCTTCAGCCTCAGCCCAGCTTCCTAGGGAAAAGGGCCCAGGGTCCTGGGACACGTTCATCTAAAGCAGAAAGCCCCACCCCCTAGGCCCCACCTCCAGGCCATGCATTGGGGGAGACAAAAAGAAAGTCCAGAAAAAAACCCTCAGCAAAATGTCCATGAATCCCCAACAGATTTCTGGATGCTACCTTGCAGTATAGGAAATTGTTTTCTACATATGAAAGAGGGTGGGGTTATGCCTGTCAGAAATTTGATGACTAGAAAAAATTGTACCTTGCTGTGCCCATGCAAGCTTCTTTCCAGACTTAAGGCAAGCAGTTATCCCAAATGGGTTCGTTGTCAGACAAGTCCTCACCCAAGATTCAAATCTAGAGAATAAGAAGGCTTTAGAGATCTTGGAGTAGCCAGTCTTTGCATGCAAAGGCTGCCAGAGCGCAAGCTCATGAAACTGGTGGACAGTCCTGCTGTTGTTCACACTCCCTTCAATAAGAAAGCTGAGAGCTCGAGCAGCTTCAGGTGACACCAGACTGTTGTGAGTAGAGTGAGAGGAAGCTGTCAGCTGATCTGGATCCAATAAGAGTTCCAAAAGATCCTGGAGATGGTTTTGGACAAAATCTTGGTGATAGCTGTCATTCCAGTTCTTTGACCGAAAAACAAAACACAATTCATTATATGTTGTATGTGTTTACATGAAACTGAAGTCCTACTTGTACAATTCATCCACAGTGCCAGAATCACATTTGCTGACATTGCTGCTTAAGGGGAACCACATAAATATCCCCCTTCCATGGGACCACGTGCCCAATATTACACTGTCTGCAAAACTGAAGGTGCAGCCAGTTGTACAATCGGTCACACAAAGGGAAGCTAAAAGGAAGACAAAAAGTGTGGGTTTTCTCCAAATAGGTTTTCAGCAAAAATGCTAAATGGAAGTATGGAATCCCATTTTATTCTCTTCTTTTTAGCTTATGACACACTGCTAACAGGCAGCATAAAGGGAATCAAAGTAAGCAGTTTCCCTGTCTACTTAGGGGAAATCCAAGCTCAGAGGAGAACAGGCTTCAACATACTATTCTTTTTTTCTTTCTTCTTTTAAATGCAGGTAAGAACTGGTGGTTCTAAACACTAAGCCACATTGTTTTGAACACCTCCATTTTATGTGGAATTTGCAAACTCCAACTGACTCTACTGGCAGTCTGGTTTCAAAAGCAATGAGCATCCCATCCGGTCCAGTTTCGGTACTATTTATCTTAACTCCAAATTTTATACCATTTTGGCCTGATAAAAGTTCTGGAGAACTCAAAAGCTTGCCTTATTTTTAATTTTTTTGTAATCCAGTAAAAGTATTACCCAACCAAGAACTTTGTTTCTACAGATGTACCACACAGCTACATTTTACATTTTTTTACAAATTATTATATATACATGCATACGTTTTTACTGAATAAGAACAGACCATTTCAATGTTACATATCAAAACATATAAATATAAATAAGTGAATAAAATGATAAGAAACAAGTATAAATACAGTGGTGCCCCGCTTGATGACGATAATCCGTTCCAGCGGAAAAAACCCCATTGGAATGCACTGAATGTGTTCCAGTGGGGGAAATACCTCATCGTCCAGCGAAGATTGCCCATACAGAACCGCCGATCAGCTGTTCAAAATCACTGTAATGCGAAGCTTCCCTCCGGAAAGCAGCCATTTTGAGAAGGGAGGGAAGCCATTTTGCAGAACCGGAAAAATCATTGTATAGCGAACAAACGGTTTGCGAAGCAGGCTCCTAATCAACATAATGCGGATTTCCCCCACAGGAACCATCGTTTCTACTGCGATCGGAAAAATGTCATCGTTAAGCAATTTCGACATCATGTGGGGTAAGCGTATAGAGGGCACCACTGTACACATAAAAATTATCTTTAAAACAATTATTTAAAACAAACCGCATTGACACTCCAGGTAACCTCTTAGTGGTTATACCTAGGTAGTGAACCTCTTTTAGTGGCATACCTCAATGAAACAGACCCCTTACCGGATTTTTGTTTCCTCAGGATTGCTGCTTTTACAGCAAAAATTGCCACTTTACGAGTTAAATGGGGGTTACAATTTTTTTCAAATTATTATATAATTATTCTAAGCTATTCCCCTCACACATGCAAAGAGTGCTTCTACTGGAGATAACAACGTGAAAGGCAATTAACAACAATACCTTTATCTGATTGGTGGATTCTCCAGTCAGACTGTAACATTTAGACCTAGGATTTGGCCATTCGTCTCCAAGCAGAGATGTTCTTAGAGAAACCTTATTTAGTTGTTGTATGTAAAGGAATATCAGAAATTGAAGAGTGTCCACAGATAGCTACAGAGAAACCAAAAAAAAGTACGGTATGATTTTTAAGATTAAAGATTACAAATCACGTTTTTTAACAGGCATGGCTGTTCTATATTCAGCAGCAAGTGAATGGAAAGAATTAAAGAAACAGACCACCCACGGCTAATTAAAGAAATCAAACCAGAATTATTTTCAATTAGCTCAAGCAGATTTAATTTCATGTTAAACTGTGGCCTAAATGGACCCATGCTATATATCACATTGTATACTGTATAATACAACTGTGAGTTGTTTTACTTTGCACTGCCAGAGAACCAGGCTGGGTCTGTCCTAGGCATCAGAAGGCCACTGAGAGAAGAGGTTAAAATGCTGGCTGGGAAGGAAGGTCGATGGTTTATGAGCCATCTGGGTTTTGATAAAGACAGGATGGTATTAGGAAGTGCCCAAGGCCAGGTTGATCCATATCAAAGAAGAGCTGTAAGTTGGCTCACAGCTGCAATCCAATGGGAAAATCACTGTGATGTGCAGGGCTGTCTACAAAAGCGGAAACCATGTCTTTAGATTCCACACATTATGCTATTGGTGAGATTGGCACCAATACAGTGGTGCCCCGCATAGCGAGGTTAATCCGTTCCGGAATAACCTTCACTATGGGGAAACATCCCTATACGGAACGAAAAAACCCAAAGTTTAATGCGTTCCAATGGGGCCCAAACTCACCGTTATGCGATTTTTCCCCATCTGGCTGCCATTTTCACGCCTTCAGTAAGCGAGGGCAGGGCGCGAAAACGCTGCGCGCGGCCATTTTGGGTGTCCGGTGGCCATTTTGGAACCTCCGAACAGCTGATTAAAAAAAATGCTATGCGAAAATCGGTAAGCGAAAGGCTTACCGATCGTCGCAAAGCGAATTTTGGGCATTTAGACAATTGGTATGCGATCGCATTAGCGATCGCTAAATCCGCATCACTATGCGGATTCATTATTAAACGGTGCGCTCGTTATGCAAGGCACCACTGTATGTCTATTCTTGTCCATAGAACAGACTGGGTAGTTTTCTTATTTTCTTTCATAAGTGTTCTTTTATCTGAACTTTACTTATTCTGTACTTGGACTTACTGCAATTTGGCTTTGTCCTATTTGATGAAATTGGTTTAGATTCAAAAGTGTTTTTCTTTAGTTTGGCTTTCTCTCCTTCTATCTAAAAAATTCTCCACAAAGTGTATTTTTCAGTGTATGGTACATTAATTTAATGCACAGAGGTTCTGATTGGCTACCATATGCATTTTTTTACTACAAATTACTATCCATTGCCCTTAAGTTTCAACTCCACTGCACAGCTGACTTTAGCCCTGGGAGGAAGGGAATTACTAGACTTGGGTACCCTGGTGAAGGGACCACAGTTGTTGGTTGACCTGGGCTTCCAGGATGCAGCTGGATTAGGCAGGATGTTTCATGGCTCTGGCAAGCAATACTTGCTTACACAGACAGCCTTCTTGGTGGCAGCTATAATTTTGTTATGCAAAACTATGGTGGAAAACCTTTGTCACAAGAGTATACACCATATTCTACAGTACTAAAAATTATAATATGACAATTTCCTGCCTTGTTTCTTTGTTTCTCTGCTTCCTCCTCAGTTGCACAACTGGATATCACCTCTGCCCATTCCAATCGCTTTTCTGAAGTACGTTCAACAAGACTGTCAAATAATTCAAAATACAACCAAGCAAGATCCTTTTCTAACTGTAGCTTCCCACAAGCAATATGCTGCCACATAGGCCAAGAAAGATACGGATAGTAGCTTTCACTGGAACGCATTCGGACATAAGTTGACATCTTCCGGAGATAATGCATGCTAAACTTGGATGGAGGTGGGATTTGCAAGGCTCCCACAATAAAAGGCTCCATCTTCACCCACAGCCTGACGGTGGGTTGGTTCATTTTAGCCATTCAGAAGACTCCTAAACCTGTATTTTCAAAATAAAATAAAAATAAGTTTGCAAACCATTCACAAAAATACTGAACGGCTCACAGTTTTGGTTCAATTATGTCTTAAAAAGAAGCAAAGGAATCATTTTCTTCCATTCTTTACATCTTAGATTCAATTTAAATATTCAACTGTATTATCTTCTTCCTTGATCTGACCTTGTAGAGAAGCTTTGATGGATTCCCCTAACCTTTGCCAAGATCCTCAGGATCTACTACATATCACAGTTCATACGGCTTCTCAAATATCCAGTGATGCACATCCCAGAGTGTGACACCTTTTCTGTTACTATGATCTCTGTTAAAAAATGTAACACAGAACATTAAAAATAGATATTTGGTTCAATGGAGCTTCACATTGACCACTATTATTCTTCCTCCATACACAATATATGCAATCTAAATGATGATTAATAACCAGCTTCTATAGTTTAGTTAAGGTTTTAGATAAAGGATCCTTAAATAGACTCCTATGATATTTAGACTTTTTCCAAACTTTCTGTGGAGCAAGGAGGGTGCTTTTCCCCAAATGATTTTAGCTATCATTTGATGCTAAATATTTTAAATATTTAAGCAGAAGTAGTAGAGAATGTAATGGGACGTGGTGGCGCTGTGGGCTAAACCGCAGAAGCCTGTGCTGCAGGGTCAGAAGACCAAGCAGTCGTAAGATCGAATCCACGCGACAGAGTGAGAGCTCGTCACTTGTCCCACCTCTCGCCAACCTAGCAGTTCAAAAGCATGCAAATGTGAGTAGATTAATAGGGACCACCTCGGTGGGAAGGTAACAGCGTTCCGTGTCTAAGTTGCACTGGCCATGTGACCACGGAAGATTGTCTTCCGACAAAACGCTGGCTCTATGGCTTGGAAACGGGGATGAGCACCGCCCCCTAGAGTCGAACACGACTGGACAAAAATTGTCAAGGGGAACCTTTACCTAGTACAGAATGTAAGGGACAATGTGTTAGAAATGATGACAAACCTACTACATCACCATTTTCACAGCAAGAGATATAAACTCCATGAAACTTCCTCTTACTGACAAAAAAACCATGAGCTCTTTTTCTAGGGTCACAAAGAAACCTCTATGCAGTTTTGTGCTAGTCTTCTGCTAATTTATCTGGTGCTAGTTTTCTCTTTTTTTTAATCATAATTTACCCAGAACCTATAGGTGTATTTCTTGCTGGGCTTTTAATTCCCTTCCAAGCTTTGTATTTTCCTGGATTGCACTATATTTCTGTTATTTTTTGAACACTGCTCTGAGCACCTAAGATTATATGTTTTCAAACTATGGGGTTCAGTGTTAGGAAAATCTTTGTATCTTGACTGAATAACAGTTGAGCTGTATAAAGAGGACGAGATATTTGATAAGAATTATGTAAAAGTAGATTGGATGCTCATTTTGGCCTTCAGTTGATTCCCTTGCACAGATAATTTGCTATATCCCATCTTTCAAGTAACTTAGGTTCATCTAACGTACACTTTCCAAATACCCTAACAAAGCCTATGGGGATTAAATACACTGTTTCTTACAGTCTCCATGCATATTTGTCATCTACATACTGAAAGTTTTTGTGGGGTGAGGAGAAAGGAAATGTCAGTCGAGATGTCAAAGATTGTTTTCATGTGCCAGCAAGTTGCCTCCAGCTCATTGTGACCCTATGCATGAGCGATCTCCAAAATATCCTGCCCACAATTACTCTGCTCAGATCTTGTACACATAGGCCCCTGGCTTCCTTTTAGAGAATAAACCATCTCATATTTGATCTTTTTCTGCTGCCTTTAAACTTTTCCAGCCTTCTCACCATGTGCCCAAAGCAGGAGAGCCTCAAGTTTCAACATTTTTGCCTTCTTTACATAAGGACTGCACCTTCACCAGAGTTTTCACATGTGTAGATCACCACCCCTACCACAATTAGTAGTATACTGAGATGGGGAAAAACCCTGGATGGGGCTCCTCTAGTTATACCAGTCTGACTTCCAAGGTCAGAAAATATTTTTATGAAAATTTTCTACCCCTTTCTTCTCGTAAGGGGAAAATAAAACAGGGAGAAACATGTACATTTCCTTCAGCTGAGCAGACAAAAGCAGAATACATATAAAGTGATATGTCTCTGTATGTATACATATGCATACAAACACATTTATAAATAGTCCCCTCCGAGCTGTGAAAGTTACACCACTTTGAACCTGTCATTCTCCCTCAGCCTGACTTCTCTCACAGGGATTTTCTGAAGATATAAGTTGGGACGCGAGTCCTCCCCGCTTCCGTAAGTTCGTCCGGAAGGAAACACGATATAAACATAACGATACGCACAACAGCGAAGGAGAAAAGGGCACATAGGAGTATTTTGGCCTACCAAGCCGCTGCTGAAATGGTGAGGAGAAGGGACGCTCAAGTGCGGTGTCAGGTTTTGAGGGGGAGTGGCCGCGACGGGGGAAAAATAAAACACCACCAGACGGTGACACCAGCCTACTGACGTGTTTCTTGCGTTCGGGCCTCTCAGCCCTTCATCGAAAAAAACACTCCTCAAGACACCGAAAAGAGCCTCCCCCACAGGCCCGCCTGCCCGCCTCGGGAGACAACCTAATCAGAGCGCGGCTTTCAAAACCCCGCGGCCCCCGCCCGCTCACAGCGCCTGCGCAAAGTACCTCACGCAGGGGCGGCACCACCACTCATAAACCACGCTCACTTGCTGAGACACTTTCCAACGAGATGCTCGGCTAGAACGGCCGGATCTTTGTGTTGAAAACCTCTCGGGAACCAAACCATGAGAGCGAGCGCTTCCGCCGAATATTTTGACATTCCTTCCGGGCATTCATACTGGCAATGGAATAAGAGCATAGAAGCTGAAGGGGAGCAACAGCGCCCCCTCCGGGGAGAAGGAATGACTACTGAGGGGGAAAAGGGCTGGTGGGAAGAAAGTTCCTGGCCTGGAAGATTATTCTGTGTTTTCCTTTTACTTTAGATTTTATAGCGAACCCTAGCTTGGAAAATTGTTTAACTGCATTGTCATTTACATCAGTGGTTCTTAACCTTTGTTACTCGGATGTTTTTGAACTGCAACTCCCAGAAACCCCAGCCAGCAACGTTGGTGGTGAAGGCTTCTGGGAGTTGCAGTCCAAAACTCCTGAGTAACCCAAGGTTAAGAACCGTCTGACTCTTCGTTTCTTACATTTCTTTGTTCCCACATACAATGTTTTAATTTGTCCATTGTTGTTGTTTAGTCATTAAGTCGTGTCTGACTCTTCGTGACCCCATGGACCAGACCGCACCAGGCCCTCCTGTCTTCCACTGCCTCCCTGAGTTGGGTCAAATTCATGTTGGTAGCTTCAATGACACTGTCCAACTATCTCATCCTCTATTGTCCCCTTCTCCTCTTGCCTTCACACTTTCCCAACATCAGGGTCTTTTCCAGGGAGTCTTCTCTTCTCATGAGATGGCCAAAGTATTGGAGCCTCAGCTTCAGGATCTGTCCTTCCAGTGAGCACTCAGGGTTGATTTCCTTCAGAATGGATAGGCTTGTTCTCCCTGCAGTCTAGGGGACTCTCAAGAGGCTTTTCCAGCACCACAATTCAAAAGCATCAATTCTTCAGCGGTCAGCCTAATTTATAGCACAGCTCTCACTTCCATACGTCACTACTGGAATACCATAGCTTTGACTATGCGGACCTTTGTCGGCAAGTTGAGGGCTCTGATTTTAAGATACTGGCTAGGTTTTCCATCACTTTCCTCCCAAGAAGCAGGTGTCTTTTAATTTTGTGGCTGCTGTCTCCATCTGCAGTGATCAGGGAGCCCAAGAAAGTAAAATATGTCACTGCCTCCATACCTTCTCCTATTTGCCAAGAGGTGATGGGACCAGTGGCCATGATCTTAGTTTTTTTGATGTTGAGTTTCAAACCATTTTTGTGCTCTCCTCTTTCACTCTCATTGAGAGGTTCTTTAATTCCTCCTCACTTTCTGTCATCAGAGTGGTATCATCTGCATATTGGAGATTGTTGATATTTCTTCCGGCAATCTTAATTCTGATTTGGGATTCATCCAGTCCAGCCTTTCGCGTCATGTATTCTGCATATAAGTTAAATAAGCAGGGAGACAATATGCAACCTTGTCATACTCCTTTCCCAATTTTGAACCAATCACTTGTTCTATATCCAGTTCTAACTGTTGCTTCCTGTCCAACATATAGATTTCTCAGGAGATAGATAAAGTGGTCAGGCTCTCCCATTTATTTAAGAACGTGCAATTGTACGGTAGTTGGAGCATTCTTTGGCACGGGCCTTCTTTCGGATTGGGATGACTGTAGACTGATCTTTTCCAATCCTTTGGCCACTGCTGAGTTTTCCAAACTTGCTGGCATATTGATTGTAGCAACAGCGTCATCTTTTAAGATTTTAAATAGTTCAACTAGAATGCCATCAGCTCCACTGGCCTTGTTGTTAGCCATTCTTTCTAAGGCCCACTTGACTTCGCTCTCCATACTATTTTGTCCATACCACAGCTTAAATAGATGTCCTTGCACAGATGGTCTTCATATACTGGCCAGTTTAATAAAGTGGACACTATAACTCAGAGAATTTATGACAAAATAAATATGGTAATCTTTACTATGTAACGAATTGCTGTTTGGGGAAACAACAGAAATGGAGAAGCAGAACAATTCACAATACAACTATTTATGTTGTTGCTGTTTGGTCGTTAAGTCGTGTCCAACTCATCGTGACCACATGGACCAGAGCATGCCCTGGCCCTAGATACCTCCTCGGTGGGAACCAACAGAAATGGAGAAGCAGAACAATTCACAATACAACTATTTATGTTGCTGTTGTTGTTGCTTAGTCATTAAGTTGTGTCCAACTTAATGATTATTAGTATACTATTTATACAAGGGCATTAACATGAAATCTCAAAGTAAACGTTTATCACAACAGTTTGATGATTAACAGATTTTACCCTCAGATTAACAGATTTTACATTCTCAAGAAAGAAGAGTAACCTTGCTTCATTTTTGAAAACAGACATATATTTGGCATTGATTTTCGTAAATTGTAATCTAAGATTTCAGATGTTCCTCTGGAGGTTTTAAGCCATATGAAAAGTGAATTGTAATGTAAGACAGCTCGTAATATTTTTTTCAAACATCTCAATGATGCCAAAACTATTTCTACTTTTTCTTGTTATACATGCTGAAGCAGATTAACACGGTTAGTTTATGGAAACATTGGGGGGGCGGGGCGGCGCTTGTTTTTCTGTGTGCCTATGTACAAGATAAGATACAGGTAGTTTCCCCTTGACATTCAGTCCAGTCATGTCCGACTCTAGGGGGTGGTGCTCATCCCCGTTTCCAAGCCATAGAGCCAGTGTTTTATCCAAAGACAGTTTCCATGGTCATGCGGCCAGCGCGACTAGACACAGAACGCCATTACCTTCCCACCAAGGTGGTACCTATTTACAGTATCTACTGGCATTTTACATGCTTTCGAACAGCTAGGTTGGCAGGAGCTGAGACAAGCAACGGGACCTCACACCGTTGCGTGGATTCGATCTTAGGACCACTGGTCTTCTAACCTTGCAGCATAGAGGCTTCTGCAGTTTAACCTGCAGCAGCACCACGTCCCCGCGTACAAGATACCAAAGGCATCACAGATTTATTAAAAACTTCTCTGGAATCAATACTGAAAAGTTACTTTTTTTAAGACGATTTTTAGAACTGTCACCGAAATATTCCTTTTTCAATCTCTGAAATCTACCCACCGCCCCTATTTAGAAAGCATCTGTTCTTGACGTCACTCCAGCTATCGGACAGCTGATTGGACGGGGGACTCTGCAGGCCCGTACTTCCTCCCCGTCCCAAATTGTTGACGCTTCAAAGTTTGAGTGGCTGAATCTAGCCGGGTCGCGGGTGAAGTGTGCGATTGTGATTGGCCAGGAGCTAGTGACGAGCCTGTGCTGTGCCCGGTGCTGATTGGTCAGTATACTACACCGGGCTCTCGCTGGCTTGCTCTCGCTCTCTCTCGTGCCTATGGTTACCGGCGTGTGAGTAAGATTGGGGGTGCCGACCATCTCGACGACACCCCGGCCCCGCCATGACCCCCTGCTCTCTTGGCGGCCTCCTCCTGCTGCTGCTGTGTCTGCTCGGGGACGCCATCGCAGGGTGAGCCCAAGGGAAAGGAAGGGAGCTCGGGAGGAAACGCCACCCTCCTCCCC